ATGAGCTGCTTCACATTTCTGCTGTATGATACAGCCAAGTCCACCACTCTCCCTCAGATCATGGTATTGTCCACAGAGGGAGGATGAGCTGCTTCACATTTCTCCCACATTAGGCTGACTTGCGGTGATATAACTGAAATACTGTTCAAACCTGCATTGAACCAACCACTTCCATCTTGTCCCAGTTTAAAGTGCTGTAAATAAGCTACAGAGTAACATGCCTTTGGGATGCCAGAAACAAATTATTCTGTGTTGAATCTCAGTTTGCCTGATTGTGTGTTATTAGGTATGTTAGCAATCTACCCCTTGCTAGTGGGTTAAAACAAAGTGGTATATATAAAAACTGCATCACTCAATAATTGTCACCCCAAAAGCTGACAAGTAAAGTCAGAGCTGTCAGAGTTGGTGTTACACCCAACATTCTTCTATCTGGGGTCATTGGAGATGAAATAGTCTGCCTTGTTTTACAAAGTGATGGCATCGTTATGAATCTAATGGACCCAAATACCTCAGCATTGACTAAGGTAGAGCTCTCCCAGTGTGCCAGGCTATCATGTGTCCAGGTCAATGTTGAAGCCTTGATGAAGCAACAGCTGCTCAGGTATTAGATACTAACCAGGGCATTAGGCCACTTTGAGGAACAAACTTGGTTTTGTGTATATCTGCTGATGATGCAAAAATCTCTTCCTGAAAATGATAAAATTCAAATCTGTAGTAAAAGTATGTACGCCCTCAAATCTGCTTGCAAGTCAGTAATTATTGTATGAAAAAAGACTCCTTACCATCCTGATTTCATTTGAAATGGTCATGTTGCTCAAAACAGTGATATATTTTAAGGCCTTATTGTAATTGGAAAATTGTTGTTCAATGGAATCAGCTTGATTCATGGTAAATTGACTGCTATATTTCATGTACAAATACATGTATGCATGGAGAGATGTGATCGGTGAATTCAGATCTGATCTACATTTTGTTGCCATAGAAACTGAATGATTTCGCAGTATATATTTCCTATCAGTCTAATTCTTACACCTTTTGCTTATTTAACATTCCACACAGCTTGTAAGTATGATAATTTACATATTTTTCAAAGAGTGTAAGGGTTTGTGTGCGGTAATGAAAAGGAGGTCTACAAGGACCATCTTCATGATTGGGTAACATCACCAGACCAATCGGTAAACTGTCAGGATTGCCACATGCTCATCACTGAAGGTGAAGGTCACTGCGTCTGGCTAAGGGGAGCTAACTGTTGCTGAAAGAGTCTATCACACTATTGAATGTTTGTGATGACAGTTCTGTAAAGGTATGAATGGTGTATGTCACCCAAGGACATTTTAAAGATTTTCTTGTGACTTCAGTCCAGCTTTTTGAGCAATACGATGCAAGGTATTCCAACAGGGTTTGACCACTGTGCCCCAACGTTGTATACATTCCACCATTGTAGTATGTACATGTGTTATACAGCATGTCCACCATATGCAGCAGCGACATTCAGGAAACTCTACCCACAGCGGTCGGTACAATCCTTCTATGTATTGATGTGGAGTAGCGTCTGGATGTTGATGTAGATGAGGTATATACACCAGGCTCCAGTTGTATACTGAGCGGTCTGTACAATCCTTCTATGTATTGATGTATAGTAGTGTCTGGATGATGAGGCAGTAGTGTCTGGATGGCGATGCAGTAGTGTCTTGGATGCATATACCAAGTTTTTTCTTCTGTTATTTGAGCAGAATATGCATGGTTGGTTGGTTTAACACACAATGGATGCAGAATACTGTAAGCCTTATATGAAATGTTCACTATGCTATATGTGAAAATTGGACAATTAAATGGCCAATTTTAAATTTTGTTCTTGGATGTGCCTAGTCATGATATGCCAAGATGCATTATTGACAATAAATGCAAGTCAGCTGATTTAAGATATATTTGACATTTAGAAAATCACTTGATAAAAAGTTAAAAGAAACAAATATAGCAAATCTGGAAATTGCTGGTCTTGCATGAATAATATGTGTGAGGTTTAACTTAGAATGTTGCTAGGCGAGGAAACAGGTATTCCAGGAGGATGTGGTCAGTTTGGGAAAAGAAGATCCTCCACTGATGATGCTTGTATAACAAACGCTCACTAAATCTACTGTATAGTGAGGACTAGTTCTATTGTATAGTGAGGACTAGTTCTGTTATATAGTGAGGACTGGTCTGTTATATAGTGAGGACCACTTCTGTTATATAGTGAGGACTAGTTCTGGTGATATAGGGAGGATTAGTTCTGTTATATAGTGAGGACTAGTTCTGTATATATATAGGAGGATTAGTTCTGTTATATAGTGAGGACTAGTTCTGTTATATAGGAGGATTAGTTCTATTGTATAATGAGGGCTTGTTCTATTTTATGGTTAGGATCTCTTTTACATAAGCGTGGACTAGTTGTCATTGTTTTGTTGATAGATAGGGATGTGTATGTTGCCAGTCTGATTTATGTCTGTGATAGTCGAATAATTGTATCACCCATCTGGGATGAATTTATAAACAACCTATTTTCTACATCTGTTGTCTGTTATCATTTCAAGGACAGCTAATGTCACATGTACGCTGCATAATCAACTGGAACCTGACCTGGCTGGGGACATTGCAGCCTAAGTAACCTATTAGACTTTAATGTGCCAAGTGATCATGCCAGTGATCAATGGTTTTGAAGCCGGTTTCACCCAGACTGTGTGTCTTGGTTTGCTTGTATCATGTCTCTGCTTGTGGGTTTCACCACAATGGTCAACTTCTAAGACATGGGATATTTTTGCACATCAAGTTGACATGCTATGACTTAACACATTGTTCAAACCGCAATGTACCCAGAGATTTTTCACTTCCTCACTGACGGTATCTGCCCAAATTATTCAGAAAGTGTATATTAATATTGTTTTAACCCTCTCAACAATGTTGTAACTTAATCGGTGTTGGCAGTAATACCTCGTGGCTGCCAGCAGTAACCCATACTGAGTGTTTGACTGCATGACCCAAACACTAATCAGGCAGTTGGTTGACTGCATGACCCAAACACCAATCAGGCAGTTGTTTGACTGCATGATCCAAGCACCAATCAGGCAGTTTGTTTTTATGCGGACCCAAGCACCAATCAGGCAGTTGCTTGACTGCATGATCCAAACACCAGTTAGGCAGTTGATTGACTGGCGCGTGACCCAAGCACCAATCAGGCAGTTGCTTGACTGCATGACCCAAACACCAATCAGGCAGTTAGTTGACTGCATGACCCAAGCACCAATCAATCAGTTACTTGACTGCATGGCCAAGCACCAATCAGGCAGTTGCTTGACTGCATGACCCAAACACCAATCAGGCAGTTGGTTGACTGCATGATCAAACACCAGTCAGGCAGTTGGTTGACTGCATGACCCAAGCACCAATCAGGCAGTTTGTTGACTGGTGTTTGCGTCTGGTGTATGTTATCAGCAGCTGAGGAGCTAAGGATCTCTAGTGTATGGTTTCCACGCTGAGGAGCTAAGGATCTCTAGTGTATGTTATCAACGCTGAGGAGCTAAGGATCTCTAGTGTATGCTAAGGATCTCTAGTGTATGTTGTCCACGCTGAGGAGCTAAGGATCTCAGTGTATGCTAAGGATCTCTAGTGTATGTTGTCCACGCTGAGGAGCTAAGGATCTCTAGTGTATGTTGTCCACCCTGAGGAAGCTAGGGATCTCTAGTGTATGTTGTCCACGCTGAGAAGCTAGGGATCTCTAGTGTATGGTATCCACACTCAGGAGCTAGGGATCTCTAGTGTATGTTGTCCACGCTGAGGAGCTAAGGATCTCTAGTGTATGTTATCCACGCTGAGGAGCTAAGGATCTCTAGTGTATGCTAAGGATCTCTAGTGTATGTTATCCACGCTGAGGAGCTAAGGATCTCTAGTGTATGTTGTCCACGCTGAGGAGCTAAGGATCCCTAGTGTATGTTGTCCACGCTGAGGAGCTAAGGATCTCTAGTGTATGTTATCCACGCTGAGGAAGTAATGATCTCGAGTGTATGTTGTCCACGCTGAGGAGCTAAGGATCTCTAGTGTATGTTGTCCACGGTGAGAAGCTAAGGATCTCTAGTGTATGTTGTCCACGGTGAGAAGCTAAGGATCTCTAGTGTATGTTGTCCACGGTGAGAAGCTAAGGATCTCTAGTGTATGTTGTCCACCCTGAGAAGGTAAGGATCTCTAGTGTATGTTGTCCACGCTGAGGAGCTAAGGATCTCTAGTGTATGTTGTCCACGCTGAGAAGGTAAGGATCTCTAGTGTATGTTGTCCACCCTGAGAAGCTAAGGATCTCTATAGTATGTTGTCCACGCTGAGGAGCTAAGGATCTCTAGTGTATGTTGTCCACCCTGAGAAGCTAAGGATCTCTAGTGTATGTTGTCCACGCTGAGAAGCTAAGGATCTCTAGTGTATGTTGTCCACGCTGAGGAGCTAAGGATCTCTAGTGTATGTTGTCCACCCTGAGAAGCTAAGGATCTCTAGTGTATGTTGTCCACGGTGAGAAGCTAAGGATCTCTAGTGTATGTTATCCACGCTGAGGAGCTAAGGATCTCTAGTGTATGTTGTCCACGCTGAGGACCTAAGGATCTCTAGTGTATGTTGTCCACCCTGAGAAGCTAAGGATCTCTAGTGTATGTTATCCACGGTGAGAAGCTAAGGATATCTAGTGTATGTTGTCCACGCTGAGGAGCTCAGGATCTCTAGTGTATGGTATCCACGCTGAGGAGGTAAGGATCTCTAGTGTATGTTGTCCACGCTGAGGAGCTAAGGATCTCTAGTGTATGTTGTCCACGCTGAGGAGCTCAGGATCTCTAGTGTATGTTATCTATATCGATAGATCGATGTTCGCGCGATCGAACATCACTTTTCCTGATCACGTCAATAGTCAAAGCATATGGCACTGCGAAAAGACCACTAACATATTATTTCTTTGCTCATATTTGTCTCATAAAAGGACAGACATGTTTTCCGTCGGAACGTGTTTATTCAGTAATTTAAGAATAGTTTTATTGACAAGCACACCAAAGAACCTCTGTGTATCAGTGGGAATAACAGGCAGTTTGAAAAAGTGAAATAGTTGAAAAAATGTAAAGCGAAAATATACATTTTAATAGTACCAAACACAAACAAATTGCAATATATACATACAAATACGTGTCGATAATCAACAAAACAATGTACAAATTGATAATTGATATAATATATAATGATTTTATTGAGTGGTTTGCCATGTAATAAACTATCCTTGGTCTCAGTGACATTACGTCCTAAATATGTTCATGTACATGTTTCCGAAGGCTGTGAAATATTTGTGCGTGTCGGTCTCTCATCAAACAATGTAATTGACGCAATTTATTTGTGTTTATTGTCATATCGCTTGTCATGAACATGAAACGGGTACATTACATCATCGCCGGTTAAAGCATAAAAAGTAAACGGAAAATATTCTCTTTGCCCAAAAGAGATTACAACTCATTTGCAGAATAAATATTTCAAACGTTTATCACACCGTAAAATTAGCCTACTGGGTAACCATCTTTCAACGTACCCAAACAATTCAGCAAGGCATTAGCCAGGAAAGATTGTCAGTGATTTAACCAGGAACCATATGTGCATGTTGACATGTCTTTGAATGGAGAGAGGGGTGTTTGTAACTAAGATAAATATCTGAAAGAAAACGTGCTATAAAGTCTGCCACAAATTGTGATGATAAACACTACCAGCAGTGATACTGTATATCAACAATCAGACCCAATACAAAATATATTTATTATTAATTATTTGAAATGAGTCCCAGATTCCTATTGACGTTTCAACTCTCAATGGAAGCTGCGGTGCTCTCCCTTCGAAAACGGACCACGTAAACTCCAAACCAGCGCGTGACACATTTGTACAGAGATCTGTTAATGGGCTCTCGCTGCAAAGAGCTTACGGGCAGCGAGCACGTCACTTGACCACCAGCGTTGGACAAGCCCAGTCTCTGTGCTCAGGCTCTACATTGGGTTGTCGAGAGAAATCTGGCTCCCAGTATCGTCATCCTCGCTCTTACTTTCTTCATCCTTTTCTTCCTTCATACAGGCGATAAATTCTGCGTGGAGAAAATCAGTTACGATTCAATACCAGTACAACATCAATACCTGCCAAGTCTCACCCATTTGACTTGAGATTCTCTCTTTAATTCCTCATGTCACGCTCTCACAACAAAACTGATAAATCTCACGTCAAACTGGGTTCATGTAAAAACATATATCCGTTACAAATCACACAAATAGGTCTGAATACATTTTTTTCAGTGATGTTTCTGAGATGAGAATTTATAACTTTGCGTATGCTTCAGGACCCAGCCGGCCCTTGGAGCCCGGTATAGAACTAACGCTTAGTCTCTGAATATATATAACTTTGAGTGTAACAAATAAACCCATTTAAATTTAAAAGGAGCCCCAGTCAGATGGGAAATTCAGAATCTTAGGCAATCTAGACTTGCTGTAATTACACCTTAGCATTTATAGGCAGCAGGGAAAATCACGTGGTTAAGGGACTGTGGTAAGTCCTTGAGTGTGAGAAGCTTTTTCTCTCTCTTGGGACGAAGCTCTGAATATCCAACATACTCTAAAAAAATATAATCCTATTAGAGTTTACAGCATGTTCAATAAGGTGTCTTATCCTGATTAATTCTCACCTTCAAAATCGATCCTTCCATCACCATCGATATCGACCTCTGCAATCATCTCGTCAACTGAAAGAAGGGTAAATACGGTAACCAACACATGCTCGTCGTAAGTGGCGGCTAACAGAAGCGGGTGGCCAGGCTCACTGACTTGGTTGACATCAAATTGCGTAGATCGATATGCTGTTGATCACTGGATTGTCTGTTGCAGACTCGATTATTGCAGAGTGCGGCGTTAAACAACAAACCAACCAATATATCGCCGTCACATGGCAGTGATGCTGTGCGGCATGAAGCAAATTCTGTGAATGGCGGGTGCTATCGTTGGAGGACATGCTTACTCTTTTCGGGAACACCCGGTGTCATTACTGAGGTGGTCAGTGGTCCATTCGCACAATTTTCACTTCTAGTTAGTTCGCCAAATAGAAAATGTCTGAAGAATCGTTAACATCTCGGACAGCTGTATACTGATTGACCCACGTACTCTAACATATTGCTTTGGACCAGCTGACCTCCAGTCTAGTTGGCATGAACAAGGAGGTACATTAGGAAGCTGCCCTGTTCCATCCTCGACAATCTAGTGTTTCTTAACCTCATTCCGTTGTACTGTATGCTTGTATTGAATGGACCCTCTACCTCTGTTATTGCCAACTCACCACAATTCTTCCACTAATAAATATGAAATCAGTCACAAAGCGTCTTCTTTACGCAAGTTCGGCATGGATTCTCATCCCAAATCTCGGCAATGTACACGCGAACCCTCGATAAATTCAATAGAAGGACACGACTACACATGATTTTGGATTGGTTGTTTTTAATGACGCACTCAGCAATATTCCAGCTATATGATGGCGGTCTGTGAATATTCGAGTCTGGGCCAGACATTCCAGTGATCAACAGCATGAGCATCGTTCTACGCAACTGGGATACGATGACATAGTGTCAGCCAAGTCAACGAGCCTGACCACCCGATCCCGCTAGTTGCTTCTTACGACAAGCAGGGGTTACTGAAGATCAATTCTAACCCGGATCTTCACGGGTTTTTCTACACAAGAACACTCGTGGTTGGTAATGTGTTCAAGACGGTTTAGGTGGGTGATGAACACCATTGTTCTGCAAGATGTTGCCCGATGTATTTGAGACGACAGACAACAAAGCTACTCAGGTACTGTTGACAGTGTTTCTCTATCATGAAATTTGATTGGACCGCTGTTTTAAGCGTCGTGGCCTCCAAACCCGACGCCGTGGAGGTGAATGAATTAAGGTGGGATGACATAAAATTTACATATCCCAGAAATAAATACAAAGTAATAAAAATACTAAAGGAGCCCAGAAAGGAGCAGTCATACAGCAGACTTAAATTTGACTTATTTCTTAATTCATTCTTATTTCAAATATATATCTACGAAAACAAACATAACTCCAAAAGAGAATGGAAGCATTTCTGCTGGGGCAATCGAGACTTACCCAGCCATTCTAGATCTGAGACAGACTCCTGTTTAATTTTATTCTCCGTCGTGTCTCGGAGGCAGAGTAGCTGGGCTACTGGTATTTACCATAACAGAATGGATTATGATACACCTGATAATCGGGGTTTATGTTGTGGATGTCCACATAACTATGGCAAATGCGGAGTTTGGTTGTTAGCCGCGCTCAGCATTATTCCTGCCGTGTGACGTCAGTTTGTAAATAATGGAGTCTGCACCAGACAGACCAGGTAATAAAACCCAATCCAGCCACTCGTCTCCCCATTAGACTTCCGCAATCGCAAAAGAATCAGATCTTAGTTCTCACTCCCGATAAACAAAGGTCAGAAGTCATTCCTTTACCGTGCACGTCAGAACGAGACTTAATCCAACCAATCGGAGAGTCTCTTTCAAGATCGGGAAGTGGATTGTGCTTTCTTATCATTTAATCTTGGATAAGTAATACGAGGTAAGCCGAAGGACAGTTACGGGCCGTAAGACTCATCTCTCGCTTGGGACAAACATTTGAAACGGAAGTCACTTTCCACACCCAGCAAGAGGCAGTGCCATACAAATGCGACCATCAACAGACATTCTCGAATTATCTTTTGTTTCATTTTCAAAGTTTGAAGGGACAGTTTTTTTCAAAGCGTCGTCTGGAATTGAACTCGCCAGTTTTGGAACTAGTGTCTTAAAGTACGAGAACACTGATTCCTATTGTCTTATGCCACGTCTTTGCTAGCCATGTATTTGGTAGGTCGTTCTGACGTACCCGTAATGGCGATGTCTTCAGATCTTTTTTAGAGGTAGCGAGAAATATGATCTGATCTTAATATGATTGAGACTGTCATAGTCGTATTGTAATCTCCACGGACTAGACAAGTGCTGTTTATAACACAATGAAGCCTCGCGAGTCCATTTCCACGAGCTAACATGATTCTTATATGATTCCGTAAGTATCTGACTTCAAGTCATTACTGTGTTTGTATCCAAATACATACAAGTCAAACATATTCCAGAGCCGAGGTGTCAATGTGTATGGTTTTGGCAAGAAACCTCATTTGACAGTAAACTGAGAGGCGTGTGGATGAATGTTCTAGGCACCATTAAGCGAGGATGGTTGATGTGGAGATTCAGCGTGATTTAACCAATGTGTTTGTTTTCGTGTTTCTTCAACAAATCTACGTACTCTCTTCCTCTGTGAGATCCTCGCCCATACACTGTAGCACTGCTCTCAGGTCAGACGCTGTGATGTACCCACAACCAGACTTGTCAAATACCTGTAACACACGGCATGACACAAATAAACGAGCGAGTGAGTATGGTTTTACGCCCCTCTTAGCCATATTTGCCCAGCGGAACACCAAAACAGGTTTCCAAAATTGCACCCTTTTGAAAACTGAACGTGGGACCTTCGCAGCCACAGAGAGACGAACATATTATATATGTCATCGATCACATGGCGTAATCAGTTTTACATCAAGCTTGCGGGACAGCCATGCTGAACCAGTCGTACTCCGCCTTTAAAGTGCGTCGTGTTTCCAGGAAACCATGTCAGATATGTAATAACTGATGGGAACACTTGCTTTGAAGGTTTCTTGATCAGCTATAGATACTACACAACAAACGTTAAAGAGCATGTCACATCAGATTTTGAAAGAATGGTCCCAAATTGTTTAACTCGCACAGAGAACTAGACTAACGCTTAGTCTTTGAATACATTTAATTTTGATTGTAATAAATAAACCCATTTAAATTTAAAGGAGCACCAGTCAGATGTGAAATTCAGAACCTGAGGGAATCTAGACTTGCTCCATTTAGGGCTTAAATAGCATTGCAGGGAGGGCAAGGCAGTAGGGAAAATAATGTGGTTCAGGGACTGTGAGACAGACTAACATAGAACCACCCCACCATGCTGTGAATAGGAGGGCTCCTTACAGTGAAGGCTTGCCGGAGTTCCTCTTCCTCATCCTCCTCCGACTGCTCGCTGCTGATGCCGCCCATGTTCGCCATCACCTGCACAAACTCCTCGAACGTGAACGTGCCATCGCCTGTCATACGAAAGAGTGAGCGCTTTAAATCCCCAAACAGTAAGATTATCGAAGAGTTCACTTACATGGGAACCCTGATACAGCAACACATTTAGCATAATAAACAGAGCACACTGTCACAGACAACATAAACAGAACATATACACAGAGCATACACACCATACACAAACATACAAAGAACATACATTCTTACAATATACATACGAAAACACACACAACAGATATTCACACACGGCAGATATAACACACATACACACCGTGCTAGTACACAATTCATGCACACACGCATACCTATACACAAAACATACACCTACATTATACATACATCATTAAACATGCATGCATGTATGCACACACGTACATAATACATATATACTTGAAAATGAACACACATCATTACATGAACACATTCACACGCAAGTACGCGTACATACACTCTGCACACACCTGCATAAAACATACACAATTACACACTACACCTGCATTAGAGACATAGAGAGAGAGAGAGAGAGAGAGAGAGAGAGAGAGAGAGAGAGAGAGAGAGAGAGAGAGAGAGAGAGAGAGAGAGAGAGAGAGAGAGAGAGAGAGAGAGAGCATGCAGCATTCACACCCACGCAGTTTCACTTAGTGCCTGCTTGCACTTATCACATTGACACTAAACTAAGTAGTTTACCCTAATAAAGAAATGTCTGCAACAGTTTCATTTCACTAATAATTAATTCCTGGCGATTTGCTAGATCCACTAGAAAGTTTAGTTTCAAAATACTTTACCAAAACATTATGAAAATATGCAGTGTGGAGTTGGTGTAGTGGTCAGAACGTGAATCGTTGATGTGAATATATATGAAGGATTAACCTGATGGATTACTGCGGCCCTTTATACCCACGTTCCCAGTAACTGATATACGGAGTGTTGGAACATGACGTAAACAAATCCATCATCAGCTTATATCAACTCATTTCCTTACAACGACACGGCTGGTGCTGTAACTCGACACATACATCCTTCTACTGTATTACATTGTCAAGCCACACTGATACGTACAGAAGTAATCGTGTCATCTACAGTCACATAGAAATGTATTATCATTAACCCATGACATATACAAGCTCATAACAAATAACATATTCCTCGTTAGTTTCGGAATATCAGCTTTATGGATGACCGTTAGAGTATATATTTCATATAATATCTTCATCAGCGTCTTCCCCGTGAACCTCATCTGGGGAACAAAAGCGTAACATGAGTAAATCATCAAGGAAATGTTCTGAGCTCGGCGTCAGGTGTAGGTTTACGAGGAACGTGGTGTGGACTGTAAACATGTCTCCGATTCAGGGTATCTTCAGTAAGCGATTTGCTTTTATTTACATTCTACATTTCCAATGTGAATCATTCTTACACATCATTTCTTGCCAATGTGATTCTTTCTCAAATCATTTTATGTTACCATTCATACATCTACCAGTGTTGTCATAGTGATCGATTCTTACATCTTTCGTGTTGCCAAAATGGTTTGTCCTTACACCTTCCTCTGTTGTCATAGTGATCGATTCTCATATCTTACATGTTGCCAAAATGGTTCATGATTACACCTTACTGTGTTGTCATAGTGATTCATTCTTACACCGTGCTATGATGCCATATTGGTTCATTCCTACATCTTCCTCTGTTCCTATAATGGTTCATTCCTACACCTTCCTCAGTTGGTATGATGGTTCATTCCTACACCTTCCTCTGGTGCCATGATGGTTTATTCCTACACCTTCCTTACTTGGTATGATGGTTCATTCCTACACCTTCCTTAGTTGGTATGATGGTTCATTCCTACACCTTTCTTAGTTGTCATAGTGATTCATTCCTACACCTTCCTCTGGTGCCATAATGGTTCATTCTTACACCTTCCTCTGGTGCCACGATGGTTCATTCCTACACCTTTCTTAGTTGTCATAGTGATTCATTCCTACAACTTCCTCTGGTGCCATAATGGTTCATTCTTACACCTTCCTCTGGTGCCATGATGGTTCATTCCTACACCTTTCTTAGTTGTCATAGTGATTCATTCCTACACCTTCCTCTGGTGCCATAATGGTTCATTCTTACACCTTCCTCTGGTGCCATGATGGTTCATTCCTACACCTTCCTTAGTTGTCATAGTGATTCATTCCTACACCTTCCTCTGGTGCCATAATGGTTCATTCTTACACCTTCCTCTGATGCCATGATGGTTTATTCCTACACCTTCCTTAGGTGGTACGATGGTTCATTCCTACATTTTCCTCTGTTCCTATAATGGTTCATTCCTACACCTTCCTTAGTTGGTATAATGGTTCATTCCTACACCTTCCTTAGGTGGTATGATGGTTCATTCCTACACCTACCTTAGTTGTCATAGTGATTCATTCCTACACCTTCCTCTGGTGCCATAATGGTTCATTCCTACACCTTCCTCTGGTGCCATGATGGTTCATTCCTACACCTTCCTCTGGTGCCATAATGGTTCATTCCTACACCTTCCTCTGGTGCCATGATGGTTCATTCCTACACCTTCCTCTGGTGCCATAATGGTTCATTCCTACACCTTCCTCTGGTGCCATGATGGTTCATTCCTACACCTTCCTTAGGTGGTATGATGGTTCATTCCTACATTTTCCTCTGTTCCTATAATGGTTCATTCCTACACCTTCCTTAGTTGTCATAGTGATTCATTCCTACACCTTTCTCTGGTGCCATAATGGTTCATTCCTACACCTTCCTCTGGTGCCATCATGGTTCATTCCTACACCTTCCTCTGGTGCCATAATGGTTCATTCCTACACCTTCCTCTGGTGCCATAATGGTTCATTTCTACAACTTTCTCTGGTGCCATGATGGTTCATTCCTACACCTTCCTCTGGTGCCATATTGGTTCATTCCTACACCTTCCTTAGTTGTCATAGTGATTCATTCCTACACCTTTCTCTGGTGCCATAATGGTTCATTCCTACACCTTCCTCTGGTGCCATAATGGTTCATTCCTACACCTTCCTCTGGTGCCACAATGGTTCATTCCTACACCTTTCTCTGGTGCCATGATGGTTCATTCCCACACCTTCCTCTGGTGCCATATTGGTTCATTCCTACACCTTCCTTAGTTGGTATGATGGTTCATTCCTACATTTTCCTCTGTTCCTATAATGGTTCATTCCTACACCTTCCTTAGGTGGTATGATGGTTCATTTCTACACCTTTCTCTGGTGCCATAATGGTTCTTTCCTACACCTTCCTTAGTTGGTATGATGGTTCTTTCCTACACCCTCCTATGTTGTCATAGTGATTCATTCCTACACCTTCCCATGTTGCCATAGTGATTCATTCCTACACCTTCCTTAGGTGGTATGATTGTTCATTCCTACACCTTTCTCTGGTGACATAATGGTTCTTTCCTACACCTTCCTTAGTTGGTATGATGGCTCTTTCCTACACCCTCCTATGTTGTCATAGTGATTCATTCCTACACCTTCCCATGTTGTCATAGTGATTCTTTCCCACACCTACCTTAGTTGGTATGATAGTTCATTCCTACACCTTCCTATGTTGTCATAGTGATTCATTCCTACACCTTCATATGTTGTCATAGTGATTCATTCTTCCACTTGCCCTTTGTCGCCATAGTAATTCACTCTTACGTGCCCATGTATTATTTTTTTACAATAATACAGGTTGATAAAATTTGAAAAAGAGAGGAAGGGATGTGGAGAAAGAGGAAATTGTGTCAGAAAAGTAAAGCTTTGAAAAAACGTATTTCAGACACTTTTGGAGTCAATTGAGGAATAAATGTTTAGATTATCATGTCTTAGGTTATTGGAGGCACACTCAGAATAACCTGAAATGTATTTCAACAAACATTGTATTCATTTGATTACGTTTGTAAGATGCAAGTCTCCTCAAGATATATTCAACACTTATATTCTGCTTCGAAACAGTTCCACCTCTGTTTTCAATAAAATCTAACTTACCATGAAAACATGAAAAAGTAGAAATATATAAATCCGGCCTGGCTTCCCCTCTAGATTGATCTGTATAACAGTTTCAATAAGAACAACTGAACAGCTGGGACTTCAGGAAACGGAATACGTACGGCAGACAAACAGTTGATTGCTAACTGTTAGTGCGCTAGTGTGTACACTTAAGGTTCTACCAATGAAGGTAAGATGTGTGCTATATTAAACATACGAGAGTTAGAAAGATGGGGGAGTTGGTCAAATATTCAATAAAAACCTCAAGTTAGTATTTTCGGGGTGTTGGATCTCGATGTATAAATGAGGTAATTAAACTGTATGTATTACAAAGTTAAAGGTTTGGAGAAGCAATTGCTTGGTTATAGACCAGCGTATCGCCAATGCGGTATGCAGAGAGTGTTACGGGAAATGTTATGATCCAAGAATCCTAGATATAAATCACTCCAGACTGACTCTCCTATACCCATGGCCAATGTCCTCCTTGTTGGGCAAGTGGACGTGGTGGTCACTGGGCTGGTCATTCTGGCTGTCATTTATAAACACAATTAGGAATTGTGACTACCAAGAAATATTTCCGAAATGGCGTTGATCTTTGCTCATACTATCAACCACTGGTTATATTATTACGACCCGATTACGAACGGGTCACCATTTTGCGTTAAACTATGATATATTATTATTAATATTCTCGGAAAGAAGAGGGGTTGGTGTTCGATGCTAGCGAGAGTGTGTGTTACCGTTTAATACAATGTTATTGAGTTCCTGTTATTGAGATCGGCGGGACAATGTACTGTGACGTCATAACTCATTTCGGTTAAAATCCTTCCAGTGAGGAAGTGCTATAGTTTCGTAAATATCTTGAAGAAAAAGTAGTTTGTTTGATCCCCTATCTATGGAATCCTGGAAGGGACATTGTCGCGTTGTCGCATTGTGGCGTTGTCGTCCTCTATATTACAAGCAATATGAGGCAAAATTAACCAAAACGGGACACGCGACATTTCTCCCATTTGTCGTATTGTCGCGATGTCGCGTGTCGCGTTTTGGTTTATCGACAACGCGACAGTGTCCCTTCTCGGATTCCATACCTATCGGCAACAGGATGAACGTCCCTCCAAAGAACACAACAACAACAACAACAACAACATCAATCGACAAAGTCAAACCAATCGTCATTCTGACGACACACCTCTGCCTCTACTTCCATACTCCCTCTGTGCAGCTGACAAGCAGATACCTCAACTCAACAATACACAGCTCAACTCACCCACTCATAGTTCTACCCAACCCGTGAAGGTCCGGGTTAGAATGAACCTTCAGTAACCCATGCTTGTCATAAGAGGCGACTAACGGGATCAGTTGGTCAGGCTCGCTGGCTTGGTTGACACATATCATCGGTTCCCAATTGCGCAGATCAATGCTCATGCTGTTGATCACTGGATTGTCTGGTCCAGACTCGATTATTTACAGACCGCTGCTATATAGCTGGAATATTGCTGAGTGCGGCGTAAAACTAAACTCACTCACTCACTCACTCACTCACTCACTCATTGTTCTACCCACCAATAGGTAGCTGTACTCACAAACGAGAAGCTCAACCTTTCAACAGGTAGCTCAGCTCACCATCAGAAGGTCCATCTAAGCCACAAGCAGCTCAACTCACCACCGTCATCATGCAAGATAGTTCTACTAACAAACGAGAAGCCAAACCTTTCAAAACGTAGCTCAACTCACCACCACAAAGTTCAAGTCACCAACAGGTAGCTCATTTCACCATCACAAAGTTCAACTTACCCACAAGCAGCTAAACTCACCACCATCAGCATGCAGAGTTCTCCTCACAAACGTGAAGCCAAACCTTTCAACAAGTAGCTCAAATCACCCACAAGCAGCTAAATTCACCAGAAAATAGTTCTACTCACCATCGATGTCAATCTCCGTGATCATGTCCTTGAGTTCATCCCCTGACGGGAACTGTCCGAGGTTTCTCATGACGGTGCCCAACTCATCCGTGGAGATAGACCCGTCACCATCCTTGTCGAAAAGTCGGAAGGCCTCTCTCAACTCTGAATAAAACATAGATGAGTTTGGTCGCGACACCGGCCAACAAGAATCAACTGCCTATCACCACAGTCGAGATTTCTTGCCGTACACCTGTGTATGTACACGGCTCTGATTAATGGAGTTCCAACCGGCGTTACACTTAGCTAAACATATATATACAGGATCAGACGCTGCGGAAGTATCAAGGATATTTTTCTATTCAAGAAAATCCAGCGAATATGTCACAGAATTGTAGCAGAATGTCGGGATCGGTTTCAGAGATAAGTAGAACTGTCTCGATTACACCTCTCATATATCTCTTTAAGGAGCTATCTCTCACGATTTCTCATCAACTTTCCACGATTTCAAACTGTTCGTAATTTCTTGGATGACAGAAATAATGTTGGCATGCAAATCTCCTGGGTAATGTTGATGCTAGCTTGTGGTGAGATGTCAGGCAACTGATGCGGGAGAAGAGATGCTCTGTCTTGTAGAAACAAGCGATCGCCGCTACAGTTCCCTGCCGTCTGTCGGCGATCAAGGAGGACAGTCCTTATCACGTTGCTCGCGGAAATGTCATGGCTATCATAAACAAGTTATTATTACAATGGGCAGATGACGAACACTACTGTCACTGACGTAGTCAGTCCACGTCTCGAGGCCAGATCCTACAATAAATTAAGGTTTCTGTTCTTCAGAAAAAGGGTAATGTGTCATCGAATATTACACAAGAGAAAAAAGTGAAATCGTGTAAAGTTGTTTTTATGAACTTTCAGGATTATTTGAGAAATATGATAAAGTATCACGTTGTGACCCTCTGATAATTATCTCTTATATGGACAGCAAGTCTAATAGGTTCAAACCATTTATGGAAACCCAAAAGCACAGATGTGGTGAAGACAAACTAAGAATGAAATCCGAATCTGGCATTGGAATCAAAGATCAACGGATCTTGACACACTCAAGGGACGCTACTTTGCAAATCAGCATTATTTACAAGCGAAATAAATGTGAGATGATATAATCAGATGCTTCATTGCCCACGGCATTCGCACCACCATAATGATTTGCTGGTGTCATCTTCAGTCGACTTGAGTCACCCTGCATGAATTCAAGGGCTAGTTCCACAAAGGTATCTCAGGACTACTGCTGTGGTAAGTCTATGCTAACATATGCAAGTTACGACCATCTTAGCGCCAAGAGAGTTTGTAGAACGGGATCAAGGCCAGAATACCACTCCAGTACATGGCGGAGGAACCGACTAACATGGCGATGGGTCTGTCGCTGGATGTGGACAAGCTGGTAGCGGCTGACTGACGCAGATGGCGTGGATCTTTGCTAATGAGGCCGCCCTTCTATTGCCGAAATATTCTGCGGCGTTTAAACACATGCACTCACGTCAGCTGTTGAAGGACTTTCGTTGTGTAACTATTTAAATGTCAGTTGATGTATTGCGTATCTAGGTGCTTTCAGGTAGCGTCTTTTCTTTGTAATAATTCCCATTGTGCGTAAACAAATGGGCTGTCAGTGTTTCATAACGAGCTACATAAAACCTAAAGACTGCGATCTCGTAGGCGGGTTAATATGTTGAAGGAATAGAAAGTGACAAGTATGGCTACATATTGTTTAATGTTTGAACTCAGATGTAGATGGCTTAATATTTAAATTCAGATATATATTGCTTAATATTATATTCAAATATATATGACTTAATGTTTAAATCTGATATACATCGCTAAACATTTATATTCAAATATATATGACTTAATGTTTAACCCCAGAGATATATGGCTTGATGTTTAAGTTCAGATATATATGGCTTAATATTTATATTCAGATATATATTGCTTAATATTATATTCAAATATATATGACTTAAATTTTAAATTCTGATTTACATCGCTAAACATTTATATTCAAATATATATGACTTAATGTTTAACCCCAGAGATATATGGCTTAATGTTTAAGTTCAGATATATATGGCTTAATATTTATATTCAAATATATATTGCTTAATGTTTAAGTTCAGATATATATGGCTTAATATTATATTCAAATATATATGACTTAATGTTTAACCTCAGATATATATAGGGCTCCCAAATGCATTAAGTATGTAGAATACAGTGGTAGCCTTTACGGCGTTCTTGAGGATCAGTTTACGGTGTTAGGGTCCATACATTACCTCGTATCTGGGACTCCGAGTACTTCTGCAGTATGCTCTCCTGAAACAGCAGAGGAAAATGATTCAGACACAAAAACTGCTACAGTACATCACAGAACATCAAACACGTTAGGTATTTTTATGTACCAGCCAGTACGTTATTACATACTAATTAATGTCGATAACTGGCTGAGCCACATCGTTGAATAAAGAAATCTGCATGACAACAGCTGGGATGTATGATATGAAACAGTTACTTCATTGTAGACTGGCGTTATTAGACTAATGAAGCAACCCTTGTATCCAGCCCAACGTTGCCCGAGTGGACGGCCGTCAATCAATGATCCTGCCCCAATTGCTGCAGATATTTATTCGGGTCGTCGGATCTATTGAGCGACAAAGTGGCTTATCGCTGTTTATCACGGGGCGATTGTTTCTTTATTTGTTCCTGAGGTTGGCAATTGAATCACTCTGATCCGGCTTCGCAATCGATAGCCTGGAGCACAAGACACACGCTCTCCTACAGCAGTCTCACAACGCAAGGAGGATGGAAGCTTGAGGTTTATATAGAGGAGAACCTCTACCTGGGGACGGCGTGGCCCCCCTTGGAGAGACGGGGTGGGGTGGTCGCGTGATAGACGGATTTGGGGGCAAGAGACGGGGTAGTCGCCTGGTGTAGTCGATGTAGGGGAGAGGGGTAGGCATGTGGTAGAGGGATAGAATATATACCCGAATGCGGTGTTGTGATCCTGTTGTCCTGTGGGCTACATACCCGACTGGGAAAAGTGACGTATGTTATCCTGTAGGCTATATGCCCGACTGGCGTGTTGAAGGTAACGTAAGTTATTCTAGACTACATACCCAACTGGCGTGTTGAAGGTGACGTATGTTATCCTATAGGCTACATGCCCGACTGGCGTGTTGAAGGTGACGTATGTTATCCTATAGGCCACATACCCGACTGGCGTGTTGAAGGTGACGTATGTTATCCTATAGGCTACATACCCGACTTGCGTGTTGAAGGTGACGTATGTTATCAAGGCTACATACCCGACTGGCGTGTTGAAGGTGACGTATGTTATCTAAGACTACATACCCGACTGGGGAATGTGACGTATGGGTTCTATAACCGACTGGTTATAGCTCATGAAATGGACTGCAATACAACTAAGTCTCACATACAACGATACCAATAAAGCATCATAATATGCTAATGAAGTCAACTGAAGAACTTGAAAAATCAAATGTTTTTGGCAATTTAAAAACCATCCTCCCATTAGATCGTAGAAACATGGCTAAGGTCTGGTAAAATCAAAACTAAAATGCATTTCCACTTTTATCACTTGGCGTTAGTAAATATGTAAATGGTCTGAGGTTTGAAACATAATTTGATCATTTTGATACTGAAAATGAGTATTTTTGTGCTTTTAATTTAATAGATAAGATAATGTACATGATAAGTGTCCTTTAATTGGGAAGGTAATATGTTACTGGTCCGAACGCAAAGATACCTGGAGCGTAACAGCTGACCATCATCCACACAACACATTATATTATGGACGCAACTTATTAAAAACATCAGCATGAATTATATCTGTGGTAAGACATTTATCAAATATTATATATAATTTACAGTAAAATTACATAAATTTCCCCCATATCTCCAACACGGTAGCTCACGTGACAATATATACAGAAGATTGGTATTGTGTGTGTGTGAGTGCGTGCGTGCGTGCGTGCGTGCGTGCGTGCGTGCGTGTAGTTTAGTGTTGTGGTATGCTGGGGTGCTTAGGGTGCGTGTGTTTTGTTTGCTTTTCGTTTTGTTTTGTGGCTCTGTGTATGTTACAGTCTTGAGGGTGCGAATTATCGGTAACTCAGGAACTTGACCCTTTCAGTAACTTTCTAAATGTAACATAAATGTTTTCAGCTATGAAGTTTTCTGCAGCATTAAAGGAACTGTGGAAGGAAATCTCATTTCCCATTTTTACAAGACATATGCAAGTCAAAACAAGAATTTCCAACCACGTTACCATAAAATGTCAGACATCTATATGCTGTTTGCAGGTACTGGTTTCCATGTAAATGTATTTTTACGAATTCATTGAAACCAGTTGCATGGATAAATATTTTTATCATAAGACATCCGTGTTGTCAACGTGATATCGGGTCGCACGTCCAGGCACGTGTATGGCCAGCATGTGATTACTGAGTGATAGCTATCATTGATAGACGACATATCAATGAGACTCGACTGTGCCGAAATAATTTTCTGAATTGACCGGAAACAGCCTTGGAATGATTCTTTCGTGATTTTTCCGAACAAGACCCCCATCTTGTTATTTCTTTCCTGAGATCAGATCGTACAGAACCTAATTTATTGAACTTACAGAACGTAATGGAAGTAGCCTACATTACTTACAGAACTTGCAGAACACAGACAACTTAAATACATACAAAACATACAGGGCCTATGGTACTGTCACAGAAGATGCCAACTCACAGAACCTACAGAACTCTTGCAACGTATAGAGCATACAGAACACTATCTTCATGTTTCTTGTATGCGTGTTTGATAAACACTGGGGTGACCATCGACACATACTGTAGTGTACAGGTAACAGGTGTGAAACACGATTTGTCACACCTGAGTCTGTAGATGGGGTAAGAGGTGAACCAAGAAACAAAAATACTGACGTGTACACATAAGTCTGTTTAGACGGGTGAAACAAACTACTCCGACATCTTACCCTCCCCAAAGTGGAAAGCTGATAGTCCCAATCGCTCAACAAACCGGTACATCCGGGTACTTCACCAACGTAACGTCAACATCAGCCACAGCGTTTGGACATATCATTAGCAGGAGTGAGACGTTACTTTCTGCAATAAATAGCGCCTACAAACTATCCGTGAGGATGGCATCGACAGTTGTATACTATGAGATTAGATTTTGTTAAAGAACCACTAAACTTTGTATTTTGTTACTCTTTTAACCATTACATATGAAAGATTTGTGGTCAGTCTTAAGCGGAACACCAAATTTATTCTTTAAAAACTTGTGGTTAATTAATACCGAGCGATTAAAAGTGGTCAAAAAGTCGCCTGCTTCCCCTCTCGCCCGCCAACGAAACCACAGACAGGTTACGTAACTCTGTCGCCAGAGCACTGCAGTGACGTCATATGAGGAACGATTTTCAGTTAGTTGTATGGAAAGTGTGTAGCACGCTCATCATTTTGATGATTTCTCGACATGAACGACGACATGCCGAATCGTTGCTTTGTCGTCAATTGCTCCTAGAGGTCGGGTGATGGTGTCACCATGCACAGATTTCCACAGGACCCGCAGTTCGTGCTAAATGGGTTATGTTTGTGAGTGCGAAGAAGCGAGCGTTGTGGAAGCCTGAAACGATATCTTACTTGTGTTCAGATCCCTTCACGGAAGTTAAAGAATCAAAACTACTTACTAGTTGTAGTAAAATATGTATATGATTGATGACCATAAAGATTTTCCATAACACAACTTGTAACATAACGATTTCTTCCTCGGAAGTGAGGTTGTGGTCGAAGTAACAATAATATTGTAAGTAGTATTATATTGACACCCACCTCGCTGCCACGAGAAATTGTTATGTTATACACTATGTCATGCAAAATCCTATTGGCCATCAATAAAATACATATTTTACTACCAATAGAAAAGTAGTTTTGATTTTGTAACTCGGTGAAAACAAACCTAAATAGCATTTATCCACAGACTGGCGGATGTTCCCGACAGAGGTCGCCGCCATTTTGAAAATCGTAAAATCTGTTAGAATTAATGAGATTATAGTTTGTTTTCATCAAGTTAGAAAATCAAAACTACTTTCTACTCGTAGTTAAATATGTATTGGAATCATAACCAAAAGGATTTTGCATGACACAACTTATAACATAACGATTTCTTCCACGGAAGCGAGGTAGGGGTCGAAGTCACAATACTGCGCGATAAATTTCTTGCTACATTCACATGGTTAATGTCCACTCACCAGTATGTAGATACTAGTCAATGTGCGTCTTTATATTTGGTCTTATAATCCTAATTAGTTTATTATCATACTTTTATGCATTTTGAAACTAAATAAAAAGCTGGCGATCTGCTGATACTTATAGTGAATTTATAACAGAACTGTAATATCTAGACATTTTATAGTTTGCCAATGTGAATCATAATTCGCACACATACCCTAGTGTATGTTGTCTGTCTCATTACACTTCACGGCGAAAACAATGATTCTGTTGAATGCTACGACAAATGAATAAAAACAAAATGCAAATATTAAAAACTAAAACAGATTAAAGTTATAGGAACAATATCAGGCCATTACCTTGTTTGAGGAATGTATCCATCAATATCCACAAAACTGTTCCAAATGATGTGTCTTTTAACAGTTTAATATACGAAAAAGTGATAAATCTTTTCAGGTATTGGTGTATAGTCTCATTGGTCACCCAAGATAGCACACCTGGCAACTAATTGCATAATGTCCGCCTTTCTTTAAAAACAGTAATTTAGTTAGCCAATAATGGGCAATCAATCAATGTATTGCCGGTTAATCCTTTGAAAGAAGGACGTTGTTTTTACGCAGACACAGACACGGCAGAGTGTATTCAGTATAGATTAGTAGATCTACATACATAAACACTACCTTTTGACAAATTCGCTGTGTAAGATAAAAGTAATTAATCAATCAGCGTGTTATCGGTTAATCCTTTGATCGATGTTTATAATGTTGAATATTTACTCCAGACACAAGAAATGCCAAATGGGAACCTTTGTCGGGTAATCTAAGTGTGTTACCACTAATTATACGTGTTATAAATTCATTAACTGACCATCAAGTGAATGATGACAAATAACGTGTAGGTTTATACCACCAAACACGGGTTACAACAAGGGAGTATTAATTGCTGTATTGCATGTGAAAACTTATGAGCCGACACTGTTTTGAGGATGCAAACAGATTTTTACATGACATGATTAAATATCGAGGTAAAAAAACACAGAAATGGGATCATTTTGGATCA